TCAGTTGCAGCGACCTCGGATGTGGGACAACCACTGGCAGCGGCGGAGCAAGAAAGTATGCTCCCACCTCGCAGTGTTCAACCGCGGCCACCGCCTGCATTGATGGAGGGGAGTCAGGGGACCGTTGTTGTGTGTCTAGGCGACGATCTCCCGGAACGTGATATCTCACACACTCCCGCAGCCGAGCAGAGCGCCGCAGACCATGTCGGCCTCGCATGCCCCATCGGCAGTCTTCCGGGTATCGGCGAGTTACTGACCATGGACTCTGCGCTCGTTTCTCTACCGGACTTGTCGACGTTGATATCCCCAGGTCTACCCCATGTGTCACCGCCCAAGCCACAACAGCCTGTTGTCATGGAGCGTGGATCGGATGGGTTTGACGTGGCAGGAGGCGATATCGCCGATATGATTACGAGCCCAATGGTGTCTGCCACGCCCATAATTTTTCGTATTGGCAAACTACGCGAGATGACCCTTGGTTTGGTGGAGACGGCGACGCGACACCGCCGCGACGGTCAGCGCAGCATCGCACAACGCAGTCTTTCTCATTCATTTGACGGCGCAGAGGAAGGGTCTCMTGGTGGGCCAGTTGACACACTCGAAAGAGAAGCAAGACCCCCAAGTCCGCCGTCAAACTTAGAGCATCATCCAATTGCCGCGGCTGTCGGCGCAGATGCGGGCGTCCCCGTCACAAACAGTGGCGCAGACGCGACAGAACAGCTTGTGGTTGGGTCATCGGCGACAGCACGGCGCGACAGAGCCACTGTTTTGCCGACAGTGGCATTCTATGCCAGCGGGAAGAGTACCTGGGGGATGGATGAGCAGGGAGTCCGGAATGTTGGCAGGTCATCTGCACCGTCTATGGGGAAACGATCCATTGGGAGTGTGGATGGTGCTCGGCACACCGCCATGGACGAGTTTGAGGACCGACACGGGAGTGCTTTGCTGACGAAGACGTCTGATGTCCATGCTACGAGAGCCGCAAAGGCGAGTCTTTCTCGGGCAAGGAAGAAGGCCTCGGCAAGGAAGGCGTCACGTTCATCCTCACATATGCGTTCCCGAGAGAGAGGATCGGGCGTTGTGCATCTCGAGGACGGAGAGATTGCACCTGACGGCGACGCATTGGATGTTGGAGGGAGGGATGCAACGACGACGGATATCGTCGACAGGGAGGGCACAGGGAATGCAGTGACAGGTCAGAAGAGACGCGGCAGTGTACTTATCGTCCACGACGACAGCAGAGATGTCGCCCCGGGAGAGACCACAGGCACTGATGATGCAGGGGACTCCGATTACGTACCCAAACCACGAGCGGCAGATGGAGATGATGGAGGAGGGCGACGAGTGAGACCGAGGACACGACTCGGGCCGCAAGGGCAGCGAGCACAGGGCACACCATCGACGATGATTCCTGCTCCCATAGATCGGCGAGCTCAGGCGCAGCGGTTGCTGCGCAAAATGGAGGCCACTCTTCAACAGACGCACGGGTTATCGCTTGGCTGCGAAGAGACGGAGACTCAGAGACAGGGAGAGAGGGAGGGAGAGAGAGAGAGAGAGAG